CAGCATCCATGATGCCAATATGTTTCTAAAATATTCACCAGGCTTGCATGTACGCCTTACGAAAATGGTTGCTTTCTTTGGTGTAAAAAAGTGAAATGCAGTAGGGGCCAATTATTGAGAAATATGGTTGGTTTACTGGGTGTGAAAAAGTGTAGACAAGTATTTCTCTTCGTCCACGTGCCTACGGTTTGCTTTTTCTCAGTACAATGAACCTTAAAATTTTTATCCAGAACAACGCAGGTGTACAGTGTTTCGTACGCATAACCACTCACTTTGACGTCGTATTTTCCCTTCATCGCGAAAACACCGTCACTGTACTCGTCGCGTAACAAATTTCGCCGTGAAATTCCATTTTTTTGGTACGTAGCGTTTAGGCGTAAACGTAAAATGCTTCTATTTATACACGATCTCGAGAGCAGTTTATGCAGTGACACGGTTACAAGTTTCCGTATTTCTATTTTCCTAAGTTAAATTTGTAGAACACATAACCCGTTGCGTACAGAAACATTTTATTATTTACAACGAACATATACATTACAATTTGTGTACAATTGAATTTTAACATGGTCTGTACCCTTTTTCGTTTTCGAAATTTATTTGGGAAAATTCGGTAATTAACGTGAACTGAAAATCACGGTCCGTTCGCGTAACGTGACACTCGTTGCAGGATTGCTGTGACAACCTTATACACGAATAGGGGGGGACAACGGAGGGCCCACTGCATGGGCGGTAATGCAAACACGTTCGTGGGGGGGGGGTATGAATTATTGGGAAATGTGTACAAAACCAATTCATTTGACTTTTCCACATATGCAGCTGCCAACCAGCGTAATTTATGCCAAAGGGTAAAGTTGGAAAATTTGGCTTGTTCAATTCAAATCAAGTGATAAAAAAATTGGTGTATGGCCCACATTGATTGATTGGAAAAATGTATTTTTAGATAAAAATGGGGACCAAACATACTCTTAGTTGTTGCTTTAATAGATTGTGGTTTTCTCCCTTTATTTAACTTATTCTCTTCTCTCTTATTCTCTTTGAATTGATTAAATACAATGATTTGAGATAGTTTATATTATTATCATGGTATCAGAGCATATAAGTGAGTGAAATTCCTTATTGGGATGTGCTAGAATTTGAGGCAGAAACCAGACAAACAAAATTTGTTCCAAAAACCTAATCGACCAGAACTAAAAATCACAATTCCGACCAAACCACTGACTGATTGAGAAAACTGAGGCTAGATCCTTGTTCTGCAGGTTGAGACGCAGATTCCAGTCAGGCGCGTATAGGCTAACGGCGGCGCGTGGCAGAGGCTCGTGGGTAACACGCGCAGTGACATTGAGGGCGTGTGGTAGGTTTTTTCTGGGTCATTCCAAAAGGCAGCTTGTTTCTTGGTATATTTCTGATCTTCTGGTGGTTTTATTTTGATTATACGTACATTGTGCAGTATATTTCCATTGTGGTTTGTAGAGGTATGTTAATTATCGTTGTTTTCTTTAAAAATTGGGTGATTTCGTAGATTCTTAGTTGATCATATATTGACTTTATGATGGCAACTGAAAGATATGACACACTTCAATCCATTAGTGTTGGATTAAATGATAAAAATTACTCATGTTGGTGTACAATGATGAGAAATTTTCTAAAGGAAAAAAGATTGTGGGGTTATATCAGTGGAACTGTTGTGAAACCCGAGAACACTGTTCAAAATTACCAAACAGAGTTAGATAATTGCGAGTCAAACAACACGAAAATTCTCACTTAGATTCATAATTCTGTTGAGCAATCTATTGATACACAGTCAGCGAAGTTTGAAACAGTGAAGGAAGTGTGGGAACACTTTCAAATGTTATATACTAAGTCTAACTTTGCAAAGAGGTATCAGTTGGAAATTGATATACGGGCTTCACATCAGAAAGATATGAGTTTACTTGAGTTTTACACTGCTATGAATTCAATTTGGGATGAGTTGGCTCTTACGGAATCAGCAGGATTGAAATCAAGTGAGAAATATATTACTTTTAGAGAGGAGCAGCGATTAGTTCAGTTTTTTATGGCACTTCGCAGTGATTTTGAAGGACTAAGAGGCTCTATCGGTAGTTAGTGAACTTGTAGCTGAGGAAATACGTTTGAAATCTCTTGCGGGAGAAACTTCTCTTCTCCCATCTAGCACCTCAGTGTTGGCTGTACCCCCTCGACTATCCACACAAAATTAGAATAAAAGTTATGTGCGAGCTGCCAATGATGAGTGTAACTTTTGTAAACAAAAAGGACATTGAAAGTCTCAATGTCCTAAGCTATTGAAAAAACAACAACCTCAATCGCAGTAGCGATCTTATCGTCCTAACGCTAAATAGCTGCCACCATGTCACCTAGTGATTCGTCCATACTTGGAGCATCACCTTCCTCCAACCCCAGGTTGACGGACTTAGCAGAGCAATTTTAGAAGTTCTTAGCCACACAGCCACATGCTTTATCAACCTCTACTCATGTAGGTTTGTCATCACAGAGTCACCCATGTATCTTTTCTTCATGGATCTTGCAGTTTCAGAAGTTCTAAGCCACACAGCCACATGCTATGTCAGCCTCCACTCATGTAGGTTTGTCGTCACAGAGTCACTCAGGTATCTTTTCCTCATGGATCTTTGACTCAAGTGCTTCTAAACACATATCGTCTAACTTAAAATTCTTTAATAACTTGCGTCCTTCTAATTCGCCCATGTCTGTTATGACTGTTGATGGTACGCCATTACCTTTAGCAAGTGTTGGTTCTGTTAATACACATAATTTATCACTTTCAGATGTCTATTGTGTTCCAACTCTTACTTTGAATCTTATCTCTATTAGCCAATTGTATGATTCTGGATACTTAGTTCAGTTTTCTTCTACTACTTGTCATGTGCAGGATCCTCAATCTCAGAAGTTGAATGGGATAAGCCATAGATAAAGAGGGTTATATGTTCTGAACAATCTAAAACCACCACATGTTGCAACCCCTGGTATTGATTAGTCATCTTTTTCTTTAAATTCTTTGTCTTCTAGTTTTTATTTATAGCATTCTCGCCTTGGACATGGTTCTGCTAGTCGTTTGAATTTTTTAGTTTCTAAGGGTCAATTGGAAAATATACAAACTCGTGAAATTTCTGGTTGTAGTGGTAGCAAATTAGCAAAATTTTTCGCTTTATCTTTTCCTCAAAGTATTTCTCATTCTATTGCTCCGTTTTACCTTATTCATTTTGATGTGTGGGGACCTGCTCCTATTGCTACAAAAGGAGGGTCCCAATATTATGTGTCTTTTATTGATGATTATAGTCATTATTGTTGGGTTTGTCTTATGAAATAACAATCTGACTTTTTGTATTTATCGATCCTTTAGAGCACTTATTAAAACTCAACATTTCAAAGTAATTAAATACTTTAGATGTGACTTGGGTGGAGAGTACATTTTGACCGATTTCTCTGAATTGCTTGCTCTTGATGGCATAATTCATCAAACCTCGTGTACTAATACTCCACAACAAAATGATGTTACTGAACAAAAACATAGGCACATTGTAGAAACTGCACGTTCACTTCTTTTGTCAGCCAAAATTCCCGGTGAATTTTGGAGAGAAGCAGCTCTTATTGTTGCTTCTTTAATTAATAAGATTCTATCTTCCCACAATTTAGGTTTATCACCCTTTGAAATATTGTATGGACATCCTCCGGATTACTCTTCATTGAGAGTCTTTGGTTGTACTTGTTTTGTTCTTCGTCCTGAAGTCGGATGTAGTAAGTTGACATCCCGCTCTGTTATGTATAATTTCTTAGGTTATGGGCAAGGGCAAAAGGGTTATCGCTGTTTTGATCCAATAACTAATAAATTATATGTTTCTCGTCATGTCATGTTTTTTGAGCACATTCCATTCTTCTTTATTCCTGATAATACTCATGACGTGACTAGAACTGACCTCATTCATATTGATCCATTCTCTAATGATATAAACAATCCACCTTCCCATGCCCCATGTTCTGTTGATTCTTTGTGTCTTACAGGTACACATGCTCTAGGTCATGATACCCCTCTCCCTTCTATGGCTTCCCAGCATCGCCTGAGATTGTTGATCCTACTCCTACTCCTACTCCTACTCCTACTTCATCTCTTCCTCGATATTCTCAACGTATTTGTAAGTCCACTCAATTACTTGATTTTGTTTATTCTTGTTATTCTGAGTCCTTTTGCTGTTTTCTAACCTCCATTCATAAGTTATCTGAACCATCTTTCTATATAGAAGCTATTTCAGATCCTCTTTGGCAACAGGCTATAACTGATGACCTCTCTGCTCTGCATAAGACAGACACTTGGGATTTGGTTGCACTGCCTTTAGTCAAACATGCTATTGGTTGTCGTTGGGTTTGTAAGATTAAAACTAAATCTGACGGTTCAGTTGAGCGCTATAAGGCTAGATTGGTTGCGAAAGGTTTTAATCAACAGTATGGTTTGGATTATGATGAGACTTTTGCTCTTATTGTCAAGATAACTATTGTCCGTACACTTATTACAATTGCATCTGTTCGTCGGTGGAGTCTTTCTCAATTGGATGTCAAAAATACCTTTTTAAATGGAAATCTTTAAGAGGAGCCTTACATGGTCCTCCTCCTGGTCTCTCTCTCTCTCTCCTAAATTTGTTTGCAAGCTTAAGAAGGTACTTTATGGCCTCAAACAACCACCTCGTGCCTAGTTTGAGAAATTTTCCACCATTATTATGTCTCTTGGTTTTACATCCAGTCATCATGACTCCGGTCTATTCTTTAGATGCACTTCAACTGGTCGCATTCTGTTATTGTTATATGTTGACGATATGACTATTATTGGTGATGATGTTGATGGAATTGTAGGTTTGAAATCAGAATTAGCTTGTCATTTTGAAATGAAGGACTTGGGTCTACTATCTTATTTTTTGGGGATTGAAGTTGCTTCTTCTCCTAGAGGTTATCTAATCTCTTAGTCCAAGTATACTATGGATGTTATTGAACGTGCCCGTCTTACTGATACTAAAACTGTTGATACTCCTCTTGAGTCTAACGCTCGATATTCCTCATCTGAAGTTATACCATTGACTGATCCTACTTTGTATCGCAATATTGTTGGATGTCTCGTTTATCTTACCATCACACATCCTAACGTTGCTTATGTTGTTCACATTGTTAGTCAGTTTGTCTTAGCTCCTACTACAGTTCATTGGGAAGCAGTTATTCGTATTTTGCGTTATCTTCATGGTACATGCTTTCAAAATCTTTTGTTCCCATCGACCTCTGTCTTAGTGCTCCGTGCCTACTCTGATGCTGATTGGGCCAGCGACCCCATTGATAGCAAGTCTACTACTGATTTTTGTATATTTTTGGGTGATTTTCTTATCTATTGGAAAAGTAAAAAGCAGATTGTTGTTTTTCGTTCCTTTACAGATGCAGAATATCAAGCTATGACATCTATTATCACTGAGATTGTGTGGTTACGATGGTTACTTGGAGACATGAGTGTTCCTCATTTCTCCCTTCATTCAACTTCTTCTCTTCTCTCTTGTTCTCTTTGAATTGATTCAATACATTGATTTGAGATAGTTTATATTATTATCAGCATCATCATCTCACCCTCAACTAACTTCTTATTCGAAAGCAATTACATCATGAACTTGTTGTAATTTGATATCTAAGTGAAAGCCTCCACAAAAGGTAAATTGATATGCAGCTTCCTCAGATGATCCAAGAACTGCGCATACTACTAATTTTCATCTTTGCACTGTAAAGTATAAATCAAAACCATAGATGGGAATTAGTAAAGAACGAGATCACGAATGAGGGAGTTCTATATCGCAACTATAGAAGCTTTCAATGTAGACCCAAAGAGAAATATTTCACTCATCGAGAAGTGAAAACATGTGATTAGATCGTGCAGAAGATGCTAGAAAGGCGTGACATTGAGAAGTGTAGCTAACTTAACATTAGGCATACCTATGACTTGATTGGTGAAATAGTATCTCTTCCCCTAAATCAACATAACAAAGCTTGTGCGGTCAAGATTCCAAAATAAAAATAAAAAATAAATAAAAAAAGCCCATACTTGAGCCTTTATTGGTGGATTGGTTTTGAGTGGTTTAGTAGCAATTTTTAAACAGTCCAACTCATGTTTGGGAGTTTATTATTCACTGATTCTGAAAAATTTTTAAAACGGTAAAGCTACATGTATATTCCTTATTGAAATTTTTATTTTATAATTTTTTGTATGAATTTTTTACTCATAAGTGATATTTTAATAATAGTTTTTTTAAAAATAAATATTTTAACTTTTTAATTAAGTTAAATGATGTTAAATATTTATTTAAAATTTAAATTTATTGTTTTTTACTCATATGATTTTAAGTAAATTTTTAAAAAATATATTATTTGTAATCGCTAACTACTATAGCCATCATATGTGGCATACAAGTGTCAGTTGATTATTTGATACATTAATGTGGTAATTTTTTATTATCTTATGCATCAAATAACCAATCATCACATGTATGCCATATAGGACAATTACAGTAGTGAGCGATTATAAATAGTATTACTCAAGTTTTTTACTTTTAAGTAAATTTTTATATTTTAAAGGTGAATTTGTGTCTTAGTGGTAATTTTATTTTATAAATAATTTTTAACGGAAAATTGCAGTAGAAGCTCAAAACTTTTGATTTGTTGCAGCCGTTACCCCTAACAATTTCAAACGTTGTAAGTGAAATCTTTTTGGACAGTTTCCATCCACAATTTCGTTAGTTGACAAAAAATTTAACTTTGACCACATTTTTAATATTTTAAAACAGGTTAAAAGAGTAAATTTTCATTTATCACATTAATTAACAATTAAATTAAAAAATTAAACAACACAACCCGTCTTCTTCCTCCCACACCACCCCACCCCCACCGCACCTCATCGCACCCAAACCCAAACCCAAATTCCACACCAACCACCACCACGGCCACCTCTACCCCCACCCCCACCTTATGTATGAACACAGTTAAATTTAAATTAAATTCGTAGTTAAGAGCTTTTTTTTTTTTTTTGGGGTCTGGAGGTTCCAATTGGGCAAATAGCTTCAATTGCCTGCTGTTAGAGCAGTTTTTACTGCCACAGTCTTCATACATATTAGACTTTAACCAAAATAATTTCTCCTAATTGCGCCAATAACTCATCTATAATTCAAACAGCCCCCAATAAATAAGGTTGCTGAAAATAGGTATTAGTTCGGGAAGTAACCATTTTGGTCCCGCACTACAACATTTTTTTAAGAAGGATTAACCAGTATAAGCAGAGCTATGAATCAATGGTTAATTATCTGGTATCTTTCCCGGTTTGCGTAGAGGGATAAATTTTGCAGCAATTGCTAATGCAATTGTAGGAGCAAACATAAATCCTCTAGCTGCAATTCCTAGAAGATAATATGGATTGAGGTGGAGTGGTTGGTATGGAATTTGGGTTTGGGTTTGGGTTTGGGTTTGGATTTGGTTGAGTTGGAT